GATGTCACAGAGGTATATCTACAAAAACTTGAGTCAGTTGAGCGAATTGTTTGGCTGTGGTATGTCAGTAAAATAAGAGGGGGCACGGGTGATCCAGTCGTCTAAGGCGCCGCGATTCGCTGTGCAGAGTTGCGTCCCTTGGGCACGCCAGAAACCTATGATTGAGGGTTCAAATCCCGGTTCGCCCCGATTATGTTTTTAGGTTTGTCAGCACCATACCCGTGCTCGTAGGTTTCACCGAAGTGGTAAACGTCTGAGACCTGCATCGCTTCGGGCTTTCCTCCCCGCGATGTAACTGGAATACTGTTAAAAGCGGCCTTAAACCCATCTCACTCACTAACAGTAAAATAAGAAAGGGTATGTGACCACTGAAAAATGGACAAACATGAGACACATGCTGTGATCAAATACTTGCGGGGAAAAAGGCTCAACGCCAAAAGTCTTCCAAGAAGATCTAGAGTACAAAACTAGGAAAGGATGCCCCTTCCGTTGTCTCCGTACAAAGGTGGGCGAGTTCAAACGTGGCAGTGAGAGCCTTAAAGACGATCCACATCCTGGAAGACCCGTCACGTCAGCAGCACCAGAAATGATCCAGAGAATCCCCGATTTAGTGAGTACATTCCGTCATTATCCATTATCGGGCTCCCTCAGACTTCCATGTGTTCCCAAACTTGAAGGAAGCTCTTGCCGGAACCCATTTCGATTAGAACGATAATTGTAGAGGCCAATAAATTGTCATTCTTGTGTCAGTTCCCCTATCAAAATCTGCAAAGTTAAGACATATATACAGCTAGGTAGGTTGTATTTCCATGAATGGGAAATAAACATTTAGTAACGTTGATTGATGGGAATATTCAGACATCACTGCTGACACACAAACACGTCCTTGTTAACCGGTCATCCGAGGACTGACAGAAGATGTCACCATTGCCATCACTACCAGTGTGATCATGTCGTAATAGAAGAAAAGCAAGTCTAAAGTATCATTGTTGGGGCCTTTATTTGGACTCAGCTTACCAACAGAAGCATTAGTTTGTGATAAGTCATGAATGTCTTGAGTAGTTTTTACACTATGTAATTTATAGTGGGGTGGAAATGCAGTCTCACATTGCTCAAAAAGTGATGAAAACAGATATAGGCAAATTGTGAATGAATGCGTTTCGCTTTTGAGTGAGTATTGTTTTACGCCGCTTTTAGCAATATTCCATCAACATCACGGCGGGGGACACACCAGAAATGGGCTTCACACATTGTACCCCATTTTGGGAATAGAACCCGGGTCTTTGGTGTGACGAGAGAACGCTTTAACCACTCGGCTACCCCACCGCCCCTGCTTTGGACAGTGTTAAGTTATCTCGAACCCCTAATGTGTGTTCCAAGAGTGCAGAAGAGGGCCTGGAATTTTTAAATCGTCTTTTTCGTCATGTTTCGGGGTTTGGATGTGGGACGTTCGCCGGCTGATCCGATGCCCGCATTCTGGCCACCTATATTAATATGTTGTCATAACGGTCACATAAAATAACACAAGTTTAAAATCTGATAAAATTCGCTTTTGTCTATTGAAAGGGAAATTGCAACTTATTATGCAGTGTTATTTTACTTATGAAATTTAAATATGAATTAAAAAAACATGTTACATTTTATAAACAACACAAGCCCCCTCGCTCAACACCCAATCCAGCTGTCGTCATGCATTCGTCTTACATAATAAAGGTATACTATATCTGTCAGTCTTCATTGTCAAGCCTTCTACTGTCTCTGGTTCAGTTGTTGTTGAGCAAATAGTCCAAGGCCCGTTCAACAAAGCGATCTTTGCGCTAAGACTATCGTAACTCCCAATACATACTTTATCATAGAATTGCGACAGTCGTAGCCGTAGATTGCTTTCTGGAACGGAACCCAGCATAACTTCACGCGTCACATGACCACCAACGCTGTCTGTTCTCAAACAAGGATAAACCGTTTGAATTAGGAGTGGGATGCGGTTATAAAACAGCACACAATGATTATTTAGCTATCAGGTGCCCATAAAAACACTTTTGTTTAAGTGTAAATAATGCTTACGCATTGTCACGGCTTGGACAATCCAACATCTCGCACAATTCCTGGGTTGAGACCAATTAGTGGCAGACCCCTACGCAACTGGCTGAGGGAGCACAGCATCAGGCCCTGATGGACTTGCAGCGATATCCCCGATTGTTCTTCCACGTCACCGCAAGGCACGCCTAGCTTGGTGTAGACAGCGTCAGAAGACAAGACTATGGCAGTATACTGTTCACAGGTGAGTCCAGGTTTTATCTGGACAGCTCTGGTGGTCGTGCAGGGGTCTTCTACATGCGTCAAGGAGAACGTTTCAGACACAGTACTCAAGGTAGTCAGTTTGCGGGGGTAGTGTAATGTATGGGGTGTCATCATAACTCATGTTCTACCATTAGTGCATATGTAGGGACGTAACTTCAGGTTGCAGCAGGAGAGTGCCCGGCCACACATTGTACGTGTAATAAGACTTTTTGAGGCAGCACAACATTGCTGTACTGCCATGGACGGCGGTTTCTCCAGACCTCTCCCCCACAGAAAATGTCTGGGATGAGAAAGAAGACGCCTACGAGACGACCAGAACCAGCCGATAACGCTGGCTCAGTTGGGCCAATCTTTGGTCGACATTTGGAACAGGCTGTTTTAAATAATCTAGTGTCTTCAGCTAGTGCCTCTGCGCTGCTTCGCCTGTATCAACGTTAATGCTGGTCACAAACGATATTGATATTGTTGACGGAGTTGTAACACCATCCCTTTTACAAGGCGTGTCGCGCGATCTGCTGTGACCAGATATGGGTTTTGTCAATGAAGTTATAAAACATTGATCAGACCAATAACCAAATATGATGTTGTTACGTTCAATAACACTTCATTTAACACTGCTGTGCTGTGCTCATCGGTCACTAATTGCATATACAGTCCGTAGCTAGGAAACGTTGTTCTAACACACCCATCAACCCATAACTGCTTCAGCAGACGCAACTTTAATAACGGAGAGTCATTTTGGAGCAGACCAGACGAGGTCGAAGATGGTGGTAGGTTGTTCATAAACATAGTTTCAGGATTAATATGTTAGCCATTTTGAAGTAGTATTATCCATATGACAGTTCAGTGGGTGAGTGAGTTGTTTTACGCCGCTTTCAGCAATATTCCTGCAATATCACGGCGGGGTACACAAGAAATGGGCTTAAGATATTGTACCCACGTGGGGAATCCAAACCGGGTCTTCGGCGTGACGAGCGATCGTTTTAACCACTTGGCTACCCCACCGCCCCTCATACGACACTCAAGCACATACAGAAACATTTCGGAGCAGTTCCGACCGAATACAATCAAGTTTTTACTTCGAGGGTAACTCCCGCTCTTCAAATACAATTTCCGTTTTTAATACTGCAGCTAGGTTCAACAGATATAACATAGTTTTATAAGATAAATGAATCGGCGAAGCTAGCACTCGTTTTTATTGAAATTAATATTTAGTTTTATTGATATTAAACCAAAATTAATCAAAAAGGCAACAACGTATTTATGTAGTATTTAAAGCACTACCGACCACGTTCAGTCACACGACCTGTCATTCACCTGACTGTCGATTCTTGCCCGGATTGTAACCACGTGATCAAAACTCAACGACGATCTTTATCGCTAGCAAAATGGATTATTTCTTGAAAAGCGCAGTTGGCAATTTTTGTATCACTGTTAAAAAAAAAAAATCTTTTTATCGCCGGAATGGCTTGTTTTCACTTTATGAGTATTAGCAGACATGCGGCTATCTTGTAATTAATCATCGCGATATTTCGTATTCTATTTCAACTGATGAGGACTGCAGTTCGTTTTCTTTGGAGATTGTATCACCTTGCTTTTTTTCAAGTACCCGTAATGTACAGAGGAGAATTTGGTTGTTGTTTTCACAAAACTGTCATCTTTTGTAATTGTTATCATGGAGGCCAAGCAGTCCAACAGTTGGAGAAAGGATGACAGATGCCATTGAGCGTGGAGAAAAACATCCTAACAGTCCTTCTCCATTTGCGATATCTGCGCAACACAACACAGACACACGAGATAAAGCAGAGAACCAGAGGTACAGAAGTTCACCTGCATTAGTTCACATAAAACTGAGTGTTGCATGACAGGTGGGCGAGTGCGAGTGCGGTCTTCAACAGCGAGACACATCCCAAAGTGATGCAGATCTTTAAGAGTTTACCATTTTGGTGAAACCCACATCACCAGTAAGGTACTGACAAAACTAGACACATAATCAGGGCAATGATGATTGGGTTACTGGCACGCCCAAGGGACAGAACTCTACATAGTGCTTTGTGGCCCCCAAGACATATGGGCCACCTGTACCTTGTGCATATGGATGCCTGTGCTAAAACCATGCTCCCCATTAACAGCTGGATATGATACAATGAGTTTTCTGGATATTTTTAATATTCTCTGAACATTTTGTGATATCTTTGTTTCTTTTGCTTGAATTAAAAATAATACTTAATTTATGAACAAATAATAAATGTTGAATAAGTATTAATTAAAGTATTATGCAAAGGTATTGCAGTTACAAAAAGGTACATTTATACAGTCGGTGAGTGTGTGAGTTGGGTTTAACACCTCTTTGAACAGTATTCCTACATTCATACAAATCACAATTGATTCCAGCATCTGTTATGAACTGCTTTGGGAAAATTCAAAGCAAATATTTTGAATAATGCTGCTTTAAACAGGTTTTTTTTACAGCATGTCAACTTCATAAGTGAAGAAAGTCCAAAGTGATACAGAAGGTCAAACTTTAAACTTTTCAACTTAAATGAAACACATGAGCATGGAAATAACGGTATTGTTTTGACAAACAAAAGGATCTGTTGGACCATATATGGGATTCAAACCCAATATCCGTGGAACTCAGCATGGCTTAGGAAGGAATTCTGTCATGAAGAAAATCAAGACAAAAGAATGTGACATCGTTTATCATACTTTTTATTCATCTGATAATAACATGTATCGCTTGCTGAAAAATACCATCTAAAACATAATATGTATATACACAGAATGAAGATCATTATGAGTGTAACAATGTCTAATAGTGCCCTGTATGTAGAGGCACCCACGCCCACTGAGGACAGTGTGGATGAGGACGGAATAGTATCACAGTCAGACGAGTGTCAGGGACGCTGGAAGCTGCAGGTGTGTATCAACACCACTCAGGTGATGGGTCATGACGAATGGCTTCATCAATGTCATCATCTTTTCTTGGACTTCATCTCCCGGAGCTGTTTCAGTTCATTCTCATGGAAGTGAGACATAGCAGAAGTTTCTGCAAGCTGGTGGGACAAAGTGTATACAAAATCATTATTATCTATGGAACTGACTCTATCTCTGGCAAAATCTTTTGAGTCCACTTAACAAAACTAGGTTCTTAGCATCATTATTTTGTTCACCGTAATGTTTGACTCTTTTTAGCTGATCTTACTAGACTTGAACAGAATTTCACTAGACTTGGGATTTGGATCAGTGGCTAAAGTCACTGACTCCTGATTACTCCAATAGCGTTACACTAGAATAAAAGGTGTCATTAGAATTAGAGAATGAAATTAATCTATTCTCATCAACTGATGAAAGAAGGGAAGCCAAAATCTAATTCATATAGAGAGTGAGTGAATATTGTTTAACTCCACCGCCACTATTGCACTGGTTGTGTAATGGCAGCCTGTAAATATCAAGCCCAGACAAGACAAACAACATAGCATGGAAGATCCACGCCATTAAGGTATGATGACGCACAGTCAGCCAAATTATAGACCCTGAGCATCTAATCCCCACATTAGTCCATTTTACAAAAGCAAGGCCCTGGGAAGGCACTGGGAACGCTACTGACCTGCAGTGCTATCAGAGGAAATGAGTACAAGAACCTGTCTTACTGATGACAAATCTTTTTAGTCAACAAATGTCTGGGCTATATTATATATCATGTACACAGAACAATAATAATATTTCCACAAGAGGTTTTTATATATCATTTCAATAAGTACTTTGGTGTAGTTTATGTGCTATATAAAATATACATAAGCAGATCCAAATGCATCATCCTTGATCCTTGAATTTGACCCTTCAACGTTCTGAAAATAGCTGACTCAACCTGTGCTGTATCATTCATCACTTGATACAAAGGAGTTTCTATTTACGTAATGTCTTTGTCTTTCGTTTTCAGTAGTTTTGAGATAAGACAAATATGTTTTCAATTTGTGATTTGACATATTTTAATATGAAAACATGCCATTCCAGTTTAGTCAAGCTTTAACAGTAGTTCATTATAATAATCTGACTTGGGAGAGGTAATTTAAGGGGTAGATTCACTTCATGCATGGGCTGAGATATCATCCCCTGAGAGCAACTGTTACCCTGAATACTGACCATGTCCAGGAGAATGTCGATCTTGAACTTGAGGAGGTTGTTCTCCTCCTGTAGCTGCTGGTTGTGCTTCCGGAGCCGACTCACTTCCTTGTGACTGGCTCCCCCAGCTCCGCTCTCTGGAACCATGGTAACACAGCATCAGTACATTATCATCTGAGTGTTTTCCAAGGGGATATCCACATCTAATGAGATAGCTACTGCTGATAACTAGAGCATATTATATTATTGCACAGTTTTTCAAGAAAGATGGGTGAAGTAAGGTGTCGGGTGCTTCTTGTGACATCAACTGGATCATATATTCACGACTTGTTGATGTCCCAGTGTTTTGACAACCCCAGCTTTGACATACTCAGTACCCCCGTGTAATTATATCTCCATAGATTTATTTGTGCACGATTTGAATAGCATTGAATGCCACCCAATCAAAATTCTCTCACGAGCAAGAGAAATTTAGTGCTAAGATAGGAGAGATTGTTGTGGTGGAGATGTCACTTCCAAAACAAAACCTATGGTGGTGAATGGGGAGGTGAGGTGAAATGGGGTTTAACCCTGCATTCAAGATCATTCCACTTATATAGCAACGTGTGTGCATGTGTGTGGGTAGCTGCTTGTACTACTGCAGTCTTATGCCAGTTTTATAGCTCTATCCCACTGAGATACCATGACGCATCAACACTGATGCCCCACTCAAGACACATTACACTGACTGCGATGACAAGTCCTTGTTTTATCCCTTAATGCCGAGTGCCAAGCAGGGTAACAACAACAACCATCAACCAAATCTGTTTACAAGGCATGGCCATCACCGACCTTCTGCTTTCCAGGCAGACATTCTACACACTAGATCACGGAGGACATCCCTGGGGGTGAATTGGTCCAAAGTTTTAATCAACATAGAATGGAGAATTAATACACTGGACAATCGAGGGATACACCTTAGACAGACAAGATAATGTGTGGTGTATCACAACCATCTCGGATATTAAAAGTAAACACATGTTTTTAGTGAGTGAGTGAATGTGGTCGTTTTTAGCAATATTCAAGCAATATCACGACGTGTGACACCAGAAATGGACCTCACACATTGCACCAATGTCGAGAATCGAACCTGGGTCTTCGGCATGACAAGCGAACGCTTTAACCACTAGGCTACCATGATTTTTGTGTTTATGTTGATCATTTGCAATAATATTAAGTGCAAAACATTCTTACCAGGAATCCATATACCATTCTCAAAGGCTACCTCACTACCACCCAGATTGACCTTGATTGGACCATAGTCAAGGCCAAACTCAGCTCTTGATTGTGTGGCATCAAGGTGAAGGTTGGACAAAGACTGGGCCCGTCTGGGTGGTGTCTTCTTAGGGGAGAATTTATTTCCAAATAGTGGCATCTGTAATAGTGAAACAGTTTTTCTCATGTCGATAGCATTATCATCACAGTAAATTAAACATAAACATTGATGTAAGCAATGGTAAACATAATGCTAATTTCTATAATAAATAAAGATACTATTCATTAGAAGAATGATAAACATGATAAATGAAAAATGATTCTGTTTAAGTTTCATAATCCTGACACTATTTGTATACACAATACATGCAATGCACATGATACAAGGCTACTAGTACAACATTAACAAGACAAAAACATCACAGCCACTAAGCATGATAAGCATGAATAGTACCATTTCATCGATGACTAAAACCAATAAAAAGTGACAAAGTAACTGAAGTGGCAAGAATAGTTTCATAGGTAACAAAACCAACCACACGAACACTCTTGAACAAGAGGTATCCACCACACTACATGCACCTGTTCTAAGATTCCCGTTTAAGTGGTACAAAAATGTGAGTATGACAAAAACAAACAGTAAAAAACATTTTAGAAAGGTTGTGCAAGTTCACTATGATGATCATATGTTGATGTCACTAAACACTAAACAATTACTTTTCAAAACTGATGCAGGCAACATGAGCAAATGGTATATTCATTTTTCATACTTCAAAAGAACTGTCTTACCCAAGGGTTCGTATTTCACAAACTGTTTCTTAAACATGTTGAAGAGTGAGAGGCACCAGTTTAATCATGTTACTGGATGGAATAAAGCTTCACACAAGCTGGGTATTACATTAGGGACCAACCATTAATATTCTGGGGTGGAGTGGGTGGGTGCTGGTACTTTTAAGAAACAACTAGGACAAAGAGAACAAACATTTTCCTCAGGTTTTACGCCTTTCAAACAAAAATTTGTTTCATGAACATGAAGGATGCCCTGAAAGAAAATGTGCTGTGAATAAAAAATAAAAAAATTATTCAGCTTCTAACATTTCATATACCTTGTGGCAGCCACCACTCCCTAAATATTCCAACCCAAATAAAAATGACCAGCACCCCTACCCTCACAAATATTAGATGGTTGGTCCTTTAGACCCTTTCAGGTTTAAGTTGTATCTGTTTGACTGTTGCAGAATGAGTGGTCTTGTAGTTGTAGGCCCAATGAGAATTGTGAAAACATTCAGTAGCAAAACACATTATTTGTTTATAGAGACAGAATGTTTTCTTCAGTCACTTCTTTACATTTTCAAGGAGAAAAATAATTCTTTTTGCGAAATATCATTTTCAGTACATCCAATATGTCCAGTGAACGTGGTGAACAATTTATTTTGGGAGAGTAAAACCTCAAACATAATTATTTTTCATATTTGTTTTTCATCAAATGTTTTCATGTGTTGTTTTCCGTAACCATTTTGAATGGGTACCAGAGAACCCAGGTTATTGTCAGCCTTGTTGTCATGGTTACATATTACATTTACTCATGTTTGGGTTTTTTCATTTTGAGCAGAAGGGGACAGACAGACATGTTATAAGTGTGTGTGTGTGTGTGTGTGTGTGTGTGTGTGTGTGTGTGTGTGTGTGTGTGTGTGTGTGTGTGTTTTCAACACAAATTCCACACAATGCTCAAACATGTCTTAAGCATACCAAATACTATACACAGTACTACAATTAAAGCTGATGTAGTGTCATTACTATACATGCTACAGTCATGAAGCTTTGGTGTCAATTTGTAAATTTAAGCATGAACAAAATCCGAAGGTAATTCAACAATTTCCAGATTGAGCATGTTCAGTTTAGCATGTTTAGTTGACAAAAGATGTGAAAATAGATATTCATTGTGACTGTTAATATGAACATGATGAAGAGTGAAGATTGGTGGAAAGCCTTGAGACAACTTCAGTACTTGATGAGTGAGTATGGTTTGACGCCGATTTTAGCAACATTCCAGTAATATCACAGCCTGGGCTTCACACAAAGTACCAATTGATATCCATTAATAACAGCTGGTTCAGACACTATAACTATACTACAAGTGCAAGTGAAACATGAAGGATATATGTGAGTAAGGTAAATCATGCATATTTAGTGATTAATTGTAGCTAAAAGACAAAGATCTATTAAGTTTATAGAGGTGTGACGATGTATTATTCCTTTGAAATAAAATTTTGACATTTTGCTTATAAATATAATTTTAACTTTGCCAACATCTTATCAGTAGAGTTCAAATGTATGTAAACAAGGGGGAATCAAAGTGGTTCACTGCTTAATCAACCAATTGTTATAACCAAGCAAACACAAAGCAACAAAATTGCAAAGTGATGAAAGGAGATTTCCTTGTTGGGGCATATCAGATTATTTATTTGATCTTTTCTTCAAAAAGGTAGATCCCTCTCCAACAGATAACATGTACATTAATGAGACTGACATATTTACATCTTGTACATATGTTGATCAACAAACGGCACAGTGGAATGTGACAACTCATTAACAGGTCATCACCAACGGTAGCAATATCCTGGACAAAATGAATAGTGATTCCATGAGTTCTACATAATCACACCTCTACGTCTGCAAAGTAGACATGATAGTATTTGATTATAAAATATGAACGGGTTCAACCTGCATGATGACGCTATCACTGGAAATGAGCAAAAACAAGAAAAAGTAAACATGGTGAGTCATGCATGTTTAATGATGCATAAGTACATTCAATGCCAATGACAGCTTAGTGACAAAATGAAATGCAATCTGGTGGACACTAAACATGCCAAACTACAATCAGTTGGTCTGTTGTCACACTTGAGATTACTGGTTGTTAATTTTACATGTTTCATTCTAAAATCTCATAAAGATTTTGATTCTAGTGGTTGTGAATGTAAATTCAGCCAAACATGATGAGATACATTGGATTGATTAACTGGGCATGTTCAATGATGTTTGTAAAGCTGTTCATCACATGCACCTGCAGATTACATATTGCAGAGCATATACATATTATATGGATAACACTGTACTGACTATTTGCGTGTAATCCATGGTTAGGCTGCTTTTATGGTTGAGCAAGGGTAATTCTTAGTTGCAGCATGATTTGTAAGGGACTGGTTTACTAAAGGGATGGGTGGATCAGAGGTTTTGGATTCACTATTGTATAGAAAATTATAACTTTCCCCTAATGCTTGTCATATTTTTGGATGACCATCCCCATGTGCTTGTCTATCCCCATGTAACATGTTTTCACCTCTTTTCGAGCCAATAAACAATACGTAACCATGCACTTAATGACGTAATCAAGGTAGACACTTCAAAGCTAACTGAAAACATAAAAGTGTTTGCCATTTGTTGTGAAGTTATGATGCTAATTAAGCTACATGATGTAAGATATTCAATAAGTAATAAAAGCATACCTTAAAACTTACTTTTTCACTAATGCACATTTTAAACAAACTTGATCTGATAAGTTTGCATCAGAACACTTGTATGTACCGATGGTATAAAGGTTGCTGTTTTTGAACTTCCTGTTTGTAATGTCATGTGACTGATCATGTTGTGCACCTATTTTTAACTTGACTGTCATGGAGGGGCTCGAAATCAGGTGATGGTAACAAGATTGACTCGTCTCACTTGGCAAAGCATTATTACAATTATATTGACAAGATGTTGTCATTTGACTATCCAATTGTAAACAGAAATAAATTTTATCAAAGGTAAGTTTTTAATTTTAGTGTATTACAATTGTTATTAAAGGGGCACTGATCTAACGCAATTCCCCGAACTGGTTGTTGCCTTTGTTATTGTTTTTTCCCCCGTAAGTACCCGGATGATACGCAACGCAACTGAGCGTGACCAGAGACTGGGCTACCGTCTGCAAGGACAGCTAAATAAACTTGGAGGCTGGAGGCAATATTTGTTTTACGCATTTTTGCATAAACACTGATTGGTTAACTGTGATCTATAAAGATTTCGACAAAGGGCGCATGTTAATTAATTTCTTCAGCCTAAACAAACAGACAAAAAGAACAGCGGAGCTCATCGCATGTCGTCATTTGGAAATAACCCCGAGATGGTTATAGTTTAATACTAAAAACAGTATCCATGCAGTGAAAGCATTTTCGGATTTCGGCTTGCGGCGATAATACGATTACTACTCCCTTGTTGGTAACCTCCCAAAACCCCTACATCCCATTTCCCCTACAGCTTAAGACAACAAAGTTCAGGGTCCATGGCACTGCTAATCCCTAGTCTGTTACCTATTTCATACAATGGAACAACCCAAGAAACACGAATAGATTGAGATAAATATTTAATTACGATTACGATATTATTCAACATTCATAATACATTATAATAAAATGTTCATTTTCAAAATTCATAATACATTATAATAAAATGTTCATTTTTCAAAATTCATAATACATTATAACAAAATGTTCATTTTTCGAAATTCCTAATACACTATAATAAATTTCATCTCAAATGTTCAATTCACTCTTTATCCCAGCTTGAGGAGATGGCCAACCGCATCTAGAAACTGCATTGGGGATTTTACCTCTCTATTCAACTCGTCCTTCATGCGGCAGAGGCGGTTCTCCACCTCTCTGTACACTCTCTTCCTGCCTCTTGGAGCTGCTCCAAAGTCGAGCTGTAAAATCTTAGCTCGTTCTGCCTGTTCTGTGACATAACAAACTTAACATAGCGAAGACCAGCCATGTTGATGTCATGTTAGTGACTGACTGACTGATATAGGAGATTTAACGTGCGCCATTTAATGTGTTTCCGAAAGAGGGGGCTTTAGGGGTTGCTTATATAGAATTTGGGAATTTTGAGATTTGGAATAGATGCCGATGGGGTTGGGGAGTAGAACTAAGGGAGCTGGGTATGGTGGATGTTTGTTTGTTTATGTGATTTTGATTTGGTAGATTATAGTGTTTTTAGATGCGTTTTATTAGTTCCGTTTTGATTAATCTATATACTAAACCTAGCCATCTCAACTGTAAATCGTCTCATCTCAGTTTCCCAGTGTAATAATTGTTTCTTCCTATTAGTATTTTTTTAAATTTCTAAAAATTGTCTTCTCATCATGTAGGCATCTTTCATTACACTTACATTAATTCTTTTTTTTTTAAACTTTCCTTTAAGTCCCCTAATCCCCTATAGCTCTACCCCTTTCATTTCTACTACCTCTACTCCAGACCTTAATCTCTCCTTTAGGTGAGTTCATAATGCCAGACAGGTAAATGCTGTGTGTTGTTTTAACTAATTGTAGGGGAACTGGGTTGTAGGGGAAATGGGATGTAGGGGTTTTGGGAGATAACCCCCTTGTTGTCATCCACTTTTTCTCGTATAACCCTACACTTGTGTATTTGTCGTCATTCACTTGATGCTCAGTTAATGAATTTATTACAGGTACAATTAGTGGTAGCGCCACTTAGATTACCTGACAAAGGTTCCCATTTGGCATTTATTGTGTCTGGGGTAATTATTCAATCTAAATCCAGGTTTGAAGTGAGGTGAAATGTGTGTTATGTAATATGCACGTGGCAGCCCAGCAAGAGATGAATGATCAGTTGATTTACGTTTTTTGTAAATCAACGGATCGTTCCTAGTCATCAAAGGATTAACAGAAAATACGTTGATTGATTAATCACTGTTATCTTGCACAGTGGATATGTCAAGAGAGATTGTTTACATGTCTAGGTTTACTAAAACAAAGGGAATACACTCATATCATGGTGTGAAGTGCCGATGTAAAAACAACATACTTTGTTCAAAGGGTTAACTGATAATACGTTGATTGATTGATCCTAGTTAGCTATCACTCAATGGATTTTTTAGGAACCGTGGACGTTATGAAAATAGTTGTCACGTGGGCTTTCTCAGCCGACCATTGAGACTTGACACCTATGTAAAACACCTGAAACAATCCAAGTGATCAGTTGAGAAACGAACACGGCTTATAATATCCCGAAACGGTATATATCTTTTAAAACATTTGATTGTTACTGAGACACGTGACATCGAATAAGTTTCTTTGTACAGCTGCAGACGAGTGGGATATTGTTCCTTTGTGTGGATATTCACGGATACATTCCTCGAACAAGGAAGCTGCCTAAAACTTATACACATAAATTTGGTAGGTTGTAATTATGATATCTGCATTTTGTTTTCCTTCATTTGAACCGATTCGTTCTTGTTTCTCTACGTCTTGGTTGGGAAATTCTTCAATGCGCGATAGATGTTGTTTTCACAGGTCTTTTCCTTTGTAAGCGTATATATATTACCGTCAATTTGTAAAATGTGATTCTCTCAGGCAATTTATAAAATGTGTAAATATTTCAGTCATTTTGACTAAAAAATCTGCCCAGATTGATTAAGACGATCAAAAGGGCCTACAAACATCACAACAGATTATTATGTAAGAATAAAAGCCAAACAACATAGAAATGTACTTTTCAACGTAACATTTTCAGTCTCTTGGTGATGACATTAAACATCAAAATGTTTGGAATTCGTTATCATAATAATACAGATGGAAATGTTTTTCAGTCACTTTGTAAAATAACTGAATATTTAGGCGTTTAATAAATTTGAAAATGTTACACATTTTGACAGTAAAAAAATATACACACTATATAAAAGCAATGCTCAGGTGAAATATTTACTTTGTGATGCAAGTCAAAATAGTGTAAACGGAAATCGCAAAATTACCAAGCAAGTGACTTACCAAAACTTCGTCACCATTACCGATGCTACCCACAAAGATACCTACATTTCCTTATTATCTCGAAAACTGTATTTCATTTTGTTGATCAATGTGACCATACGCCCTTATAACTACCCATAAAAGTGACTAATGCGCTTACGAATGGCGCAGCAGAGGTCGCGAACTAGTCTAGATTTCTGCTATACATCCGGGTACTCACTGGGAAAAAACAATAACAATGGGAACAACCAGTCCCGGGGAATTGCGTTAGATCAGTGCCCCTTTAAACACGCAATGAGAAATACTTCTTAGGGGCTCGAAAAAACAGTACATGAGGATATATGTTTCCACAAATTCTCCCAGAAAAACAAACAAACGAAGAAGCATTTTATAAATTATTATGAATGTCCATTTTATAATGACCCTCCCAATATAGATCTATGTATATTATCTTTTTATGATTGTCTTGGGTCTTGGACTGTCTTATTAACCCCCCAAACCCCTAAGGACTTAGAGGGGTATCTTGTCAGTTTGAAGCTTAATCAGATTTAAAATATTTTCAGTCCATTATGCCCAAACAGTGTACCTATGGAAGATGCAAATAGTGATATGGACTTTGCGAACAAGATGCAACTTGCACGTCGGCATGATTCGGTGAGGCTAATATGTTTATGACCGTAGACCAACTACACACAAATTAACCAATGCATTCACAAAGCTAATTACAACACTCACAACATATTAGAAATGAATAGATAATACATACGTCAGAGAGCGCTTCACATAAAAGTCGAAGTTGATGACAGTAACAACACTCTAGCGTCAAAATTTCCGGAAGTAGAAAACGCCATCTAGGAGTGAAGGGAGATAACCAACAATCTAAAAGAAGTCGTTGTAAAATCCTTGTTCGGTGTCATGACGACCCGTCAGCGAATGAAAGCTGAACCAAACACGCCGACTAAAACGATTGCATATTCAAGGGACACAAATTCGAAGAGAAAATAAACAATTGCCTCTTCCAAATTTAATTATTACAGGGATATTTCAATCTTACACGATAGTCTCATTGAGATACTGAGTATCATCCAGGAAACTAGCTGGAATAGTTTATGTATAATAATATGATAATAACATAAATACGTTTATCATTTAACTTAAGCATTTATCCATGACATAAGCTTATGACATAAAAACATGTATGTCATACCCCAATGACATAAGTATGCAAATTAAATAACCGGAAAAGCGAGCGGTTTGATTTGAAACTATATATTATAAGTGAAGTTACACCAGAGATATAATCAGATTACACAGAATCGTTGTTGTTACCGTTATTAAAGTTTCAATTATTCTGCAAAAGTCTGTTCAAGTATTTTGTTTAAAATAATCCAAAGAACTTTTTTTCTCAGCGAATTGTTTATTTTGGTTTACATGGCTATGGAAAACATGTATCACTACGCACGATCTATACGTAAGATTTCGACAAGTTGCTGATGTTAATGTTTAATGCAATTATTCCTTAATTTGGAGGCAAAAATGTGAAAATGATAAATAGAATTCATCACTCGTATTTTTTAATATGGGAAATATCAACCTCGACCCGTAAATCGGTATTTGCCTCGCCAAAGGCTCGGCAAATACCGATTAACTAAGACTCGGTTGATATTTCCCATATTAAAAAACACTCGTGATGAATCCTCTATTTAACCCTCCTGTTGGTGTACGTCAATCAGCCTGCATACCGCTCAGTGCCGCACTGTGCTGACGTCGCGGTTACAAAAACGTATACATTGTATCAAAAGTGTTGCAACGTCTTTATTTCTTCACACAGTGTAACCAAATTGTATAACATGCAACTCGAGTTGATTGTCTTTCCAACAGTATCTAAAGTCACCAAATCCAAAAGATCTATGCACTGCCTAGCCATCGATAAAAGTGCTGGTATTATAAGTTACTTTTCCACATTAATCGTAATATGGACGCACTCGAATATGGCAAGCAAAGTCAAGTAAGCGCCCTTGTTTGAAATCTAAATGACCAATAATTCATATCATTGGCAAGTACATGTCCTAACAGTGATAGACATATGATATTTATGTTGAAGTACACACATTTACTGAGAATTTTCCGTGAGTTATATTTACCGAAAAGAAATCCCGATGAAATTGTGCGTGTTTTTGGCGTCAAAACGAAATTGACGAAAGTGGTCGTGATTATTTCAAAGATTATGTCACAAAACGAATGACAGTTTGGAATGTATATCTTGAAGAAATCCCGGCTTCGTCCATGTATGTTTCAATGACCGTGCTCTTTTATTAGTGATAAAAACAACTTCGGGGTAATTGACATCGTACATTTTCAAAGGACAAAATGTGAAAGATCGCTAATAGCCCTAACAAATACTCAAATTGACATCGCTCAATGTCGGGCATCATTATCATTTCTTAATAATTAACAAGATTATACTAACGTTGTACCGCCCAAGAGTAAGTACATGTAGATTGAATCAAAATTGTTGAAACGTTTTCATTGGCAGCAAATCTATTCAACAAACCTATTTTCGATCACTCGCAACTCGGGCGCCATATGTCATTGTTTCACTATGACCACCAGAAAACATACATCCTCGTCTCAGCTAGTATTTTGCACTTGGCAGCCTTACTTAGACCTTTGCTCAAAATATACTTTTTCTTTCATTTATTCATTTGATTTATAAATACGACTTTAGAAGTGTATTTACACCTAGCAATAGGTATGTACATGTACATTTAAGGACATACGTGATAGTTTATTTCACTAGTTTCCCATTCCACCCCATTCTACTAAAGGAAAAGTTTGAAATAGATAATGATCGTAGGTCAATGAAAGTAATGGAATTATTTGTCAAAGATCTAAAAGGAAAAATATATTCTTGGTATTAAACTTCGAAATTTTAACAAGCAAAATCTTTAATATACTAGTGAATGGTTTTCAGTTGTTATGTCTTTCCTTTTTTTCTTAATTTTGGCCTAGCTAAACTACAGCTTGGAGGGAAGATATATAAATTAAAATGGGGATTAAAATAAGGATACAAAACAAAAATAATTACTATGTCACTGATCGAAGTATTTGGTAATTTAGATAATGCTGAGTGAAAAAAGACATAAATAAAACTATATAAAACATCAAAACGAAATCACATTTACACGGATAACATTTTGTCTTTCAGAAATCGATTATCAATATATTGTGAGTAGATCTAATTACTTTTACTGTTGATGTTACAAATTGAACCATTCGAGATTCTAATATAGATGAAGCTAAAATATGAAAAAATCTAGGTTGTTTAATATTGGATCCATTTTGACAGCCTTCTCACTATAAAAAATACATTCCCTTACTCAACTAAATGCACATTATCTTTTGGGAATATCAAGACTTCAAACAGATATGAAAAGCAAATGTCAACATGCCAAAATTAGAAAACTGCGTCAAATATTCTAACACTTTTAGTCAAATGATAAGCGGTCTCCTTCACTCGTCGGTCGCCGTAGACATTTTCCAATCGTGATGTACTAGATATGCTTTCTAGTTCGGTCAAAGAGAATATTGTTATTTGGAAAATGAAACCACGTGTATCCATTATACTACCACAACATTAGATCAGCTGTTTCATGTGACGTAACCTCGTCACAACACGCGAGGTCAAATCACGCGCACCTGTCCAGAGATAAGTAATGTGTATTTGATGATGTATATTTATACACAATTGGTTATCAATTATCTTGTACAATCACAGCATGTACCATGTATATTAGACTCACGGAAAATACTATTTCAGCAAACCAATCACAGCGCCATTATCACAGTTTCAATGAAAGGAAAAACAAATCGAAATCGAACTTTACAGCACAGCGTATCCATAAGCGGTTAACCCAAATACAAAAAGGTATTGGTGTCATCATTGTAGAAGTTATGTTGATGTTTTCAGTAGTTGCATTATGTTATGTTAAGGTTTTGATCATGAACTTCCTGCCCATAAATATACACTATACCACTTTAATATTAACGATTATAGCTATCTATCCATATCTTTGATTTGAATATTTTCTGTAAATCAGCATCATAAAAAAAGACAATCTGCACTGTCGTTTCGTCTCTAGCGCCGTGCTAAATCGCCATGACACAGTCAATAAACATATGCAATACTTAAACAAAAAACTTCCGTGGCCGACTAAACGTTAGTACTCTTACGCCAATAACTGTACAGTGGGGACAAGTAAATCTTTCTGACCAGTCAGATCAGATTTCTTTTTCAAATTGGCTGTCTGATATAATAATAGTTACGTGTATGTGACATGGGTGCATAATAAAACATTGCCTTCATTCGCATGAAGTTCAACATGACAGAAAAAGTTCGAGAAGCGCGGTAACCACTTTACTAATCTCGCCATATTTCGCAATCCGTAGCACTGCATAAAATATGAGTTACACGTTATTAACGCTGAGATGAATAGGGTGATGATGGTCATAATTTCATTCAATGAACGTCATAAATGTAATGGAAATATACACTGTCGTTTTCTCATGTGTACCGACCATTCCGCCATGACCGACAGTCGATAAAAATATACAAAACGTGTAAACAAACTTGTTCATAAAGGAGTGAACAGAAATGTATTTACGTGAATAAGTATACAGTTGGGAAAAATATGTCTTTCTGGCCACTCAGGTCATATTATTTCTTATGAACAAGGATTTTGTCTGAAAATATTTACGTGTATGTGACATGGGTGCATAATCAAAATTCGCCGGCATCGGCAATGTAAACTGTAAAGAGAATTGTTATATTAAGGCCAATCAAGGCCATTAAGGCTAATGAGACCTTGACAGGTACCATAGTCCTACTGAATAACACACACAAACTGGTGTTGGATATCAATGACCACACAGTAAGACGGAACATGAAATAGACGTGCGAAATTGGACATATTCCGATGCCCAAAACTTTAAAAGAATCGAAAAAAACCAAAAGAGTCATTACACCATACATGTGAAAAATAGGGAGTAAATAATCGGTATTGTCGGGTCTTTTAGTCTGTCATACAGACCCTGAAACAAATATGTCCAATACATCCCATGCAAATCTGTAATGTTTGGCAAGTCTAGACTACTACAGTATCTGAAAATGAAGAAAGTCTCGGGGCTCCTTCTTACTATATTTTATAGCTATAATTTACCAACTGTTTTTTTTTCTGTAAAATATGTTTTTTTCAGAGACTAGATGCTAGTCCGAGGCTCTTTATTCAAGCAGGAATATTCACAGTTATGTAACAATTCTCTATCTATATATACTGAACAGCATTGAAAACGCACCACCATGAAAATGGATGTATTTTTATCCGGGCTTAAGTCATATGAAAATATATAACTGAATGAGTAATATACGACGTTCTGGACGAAGCATGAAGAAGAACAGTTCGTCAAAACACATTCCTAATTTTTTTGTGAGCGAGTTGGTACGTCAAGTAGAGTCGTTGCACAACGATTTCAATGCCATCATTCAACAGTCCACAGGCTACTGAGCAGATACCAGCAGACAAGAACCATCAGAGATTGACCACGTCCGGGTCAACGTCGTGTAGCTACACCACGTCCTATTGTTCGTCGGCATCTTCGTGATCGTACAGTTCCGGCTTCCAGGACTGCAGCAACCGTACAAGGCCGACGGAATTGAACAATAATGTGCCTCTGCTTCCATGGCCAGCCCTGTCACCCGATCAATCGCCAAATGAACATCTATGGGATTACCTGGATCAACGCCTCTCACGTCGTCCGCAAGTACAGAACCTGAGAGAACTCTAAGACAACCTTCTCGAGCTTCGTCAGGGGCAACGTACACGTTTGCATAACGTCACGGTCCAAGTCCCTTCAGAGGGTATATAAACCCCACACCCGGCTAGTGGAGATCATTCAGCATGAACACGCTGGCAGTCATCGCTCTTCTTCTCGTCATCCCAGCCCTGCAAGTGCAGGGTTGGGCCATTCGGGTAAGCTATACTACCATTTCCTTTTTTAGTTTATCATCAAGGAATACAGGTTTCTTACATCAAGGCATCCGATATATTCACCTATTTGTATGATAGACCCATGCACCTGCGCTGCACGATATGTCCAGACAGGAAGGTACATACTAGTTCCAGGATATTGAGTATACCAGATACCCATTGTAATGATCGTACGAATGTTCGTCAGCTCCTCCAGATTTCCGTTTTGTGGGTAGAATAAAAGCAAATCTGTGGTCTGATGTACAGTTCACTGTTGCGCGGGAACAGCACTAAGGAAGTGGTTTTGACTTTGTGGGCAACAACCACAGCGCTACATCTTGTAAATTGTACTATTATGATCTGAATGCTAGCTCGTATTTCACGTTTATGGGAATCTGATGTTTACTTTTTTCTTTCCTCAGGTAACGGATCCACGAACGAATCCACCAACGGATCCACCAACGAATCCACCAATGAATCCACCAACGGGTCCACCAACGGGTCCACCAACGGGTCCACCAAAGGGTCCACCAACGGGTCCACCAACGGGTCTACCAACGGGTCCACCAAAGGGTCCACCAACGGATCCACCAAAGGGTCCACCAAAGGGTCCACCAACGGGTCCACCAACGGGTCAACGAAAGGGTCCACCACCTCCTTCACACCGTGAGTATCCATCCACAGACTACATGTAAAAATACATACTCTGAAATGTGAGATGTATTCAATGTTCATCCAAACTAGAGAGCGTCACTAAGCCATTACAACTGCCCCAAATGTGTTAACAAACGAACATATTTCTCATATGTTTTCCTTTCCTTATAAGCAGCAGAAGCCCTGCATTTATACACAGAAGACGTAATTCAAAATTAACATGCCGTAGTTTCAGCAAAATCATTAAATGCGCAATGGTGTCTCTGGGTTTTCTGGTCCATCGATCACTTGATTGTCTGGGTTATTGACAGGCCTTCATCGCCTGGCAGGAGTACTGCTGTGTCCTGTCAGGCAACAAACGTTCACTGTTTTATGTGAATTGTGTGCGTGGCGGGTGCTGCCTCTAGGGCGGGATATGCTCACCCTTTTTGCGAACACCTGGTTTCATCACTGATTTTCAATGATCCATTAATTTAATTTTCACCGATATTTTGTCCTTTTACGTCCAATGAATCTGTTTCGGTAGATAATCGAGAATAGATATTCTCTGGCGTTAACGTTGTATATTTACGTGATAAACTGTCCCGTAGTTTCTGTGAAGGAAGTCAGAACTGGACAGATTGCATTTGATGATACATCAACGTAGTAATTTCGGGACTGTAGTCTTGGCTCCGATTGATGACGAATCTCTGACAAGCTTATGTAACCGGAGTGGTTTTGTTGAATGAATCACCCAAATGCAGGTTGATTTGTAGATGACAGTTGTTTAATTCAGTAGAATTAAATGAACAGACGCCCAAGTGTATGGCACTGTGCCCTATGATGTCACAAGATCATATACGTAATTTGATTTGTGCTATTGTAATAGTGAAGCAGGTTAGATTGGGTGGTTGAACAAGGACTAAGACTTAGGTATTAAAATAAGAGCTGACCTTAAATACATGATATATACATAATTCCATACTACTACATTTATACAATATTATAAGAAACATAGCAAACAGAGAGATAGTTTCCACGATATGTAAAGGACCAGGTGGCACACTACGCGGCTCTGCTCTGCAGACAGGGCTGTGTGGTGTTGTATGGACATCTACAGCTAGAGTTATGCTGTCAATCGTCACTATGGAGGTAACTGAAAGCAAGGTAGTCAACATTACATGTGAGTCAGGGTTCTCTAATCTTATAAACCTATTCATTGGGATCGCTATTAAGTAAGAGACTTCTTTCTATAGGCATTAACACCTAATGTGAGGTTTTACTTTCCAGTCGGGTTAAATCTCATAAACAGGGACGTTGTAATGTCCCTGGGATTATATATAATAACCCAGGGATTTTATAGGATATTCAAGTCATATTTGCTATAATATCCCAGGGATCTTATATAATGTCCTGTGTATTTTATTAATATAACTTCCGTTCAGATTGTAACATGTAGTGAAATGTAAAATCAAATGACAAGTTTTTATTTTGTATTCCCGAGGATCGAATTCGCAACCTTCGTATCTGTAGCCCAGTGAGTGTACCACGAGGCTACAGAGGTGTTGATAAGCCTCACTGGTTTTTAGAATGTCCTTTTCAAGATCCGTACGCCAGCAACAGATATTTTACGCGCGTTTCCTAAGGTTCATGGAAAGTATGTTCGAAACATAAAAATGTTGATAAATGTTGTTTTAAGTTTCTTTTTTCGGTTTATAAGTATGGAAAAACACTTTCCCTCGGGTTTGGTAGACAGAGCATGCCATGGGGGTCGGGAAAAACCGCGGGGGCTTCGCCCCCTTGGTTTTTCCCTCTCCCCTGGGCATGCTCTGTCTACCCAAACCCCGTGAGCGTGTTTTCTCCAATACATATAGTCGGTCTTTTATCTCACTGTTCTTGAAAGGAGGACATGTATTTCCCAGGCAGGGCAAATACTATTCATTCTCCAAGCGTCATGCCTCAGTGACTGTGTGTTAAATCATGCGTGTACACACGGAATGTTTCAGTGTCAGTTGTTGTGATGATAGCTAATAATGCGATGTGTCACAGTTCCAGTGAACCCAACACACGGGCCATATACATATACTTATATACCTGCATTATAACTTGTACGTGAATGGTTGGAGTTCGTTCTCCGTTATCATGGCGCTATGGAATCGTCTACGGCTTCGTTTATTGATTGTAGGGGCGGTCGGGTAGCCTAGCGGTTAAAGCGTTCGCTCGTCACGCCGACGACCCGGGTTCGATTCCCGACATGGGTACAATGTGTGATGCTCATTTCTGGTGTCCCCCGCCGTGATATTGCTGGAATATTGTTAAAAGCGGCGTAAAACCATACTCACTCACTCATTATTGATTGTACATAGCCTTAGGTTTTAGAAACATGTTTTAATATACGTGTGAATGCAGTTGGTGACTTGTTGTTTACAGGTACGTCGGTGTAAAGGATATTTGTACTACAAATAGAACATCGCATAATGAAGCCAACCTCATCATACGGATATACAGGCCGCTGGAAACAAAAAGCCATTACATGTTGTTTACTAAATCTAAAAATAGTTAATCTGAAGTACACATGTTTATTTGCCTGTCACTGTCCAAGTCGCTAAACATTTGTCGTACATGCTACTCATTGAAAGGAATGCATTTATAATGGCATTCATGCAGGTATCTACCACAAGACCGATAATTAGCGTTTGGGTATGACTGTGATGTGCTGGCTACGTGTACATACATGGCAAGTAGGGCTGGGACGAGTCCAAATTTACTACCCGGGTACCCTACCCCCTATTACCCGACCCTACCCGGGTACCCACTGTTGGTCTCAGGAGATGTCTCAAAATGTCTGATTGGGAACATTTTTAGCATAGCCCTGACAAAACGTATTTAGATACACGTATTAAACAATCTGGTCCTTCATACACTGAAGTGTATACACCCGGGTCCTACTCAGTACCCACCCGACCCGGGTACCCGAGTTACCCGTCCCTGCCCTAATGGCAAGGTAGCTAGAGGGGTCATATTCTCGAAAACAAAATTATTGTAACTTGGATCTTTGTAGTGATTGTACTGCGTGTGTAATGTTCTTGAAAATGTGATGAAAAGAGAGATTTCTTTAATTCTAACTAGTTTTTAATGTGAATGCATGTGTGAAATGTGACGTCTCTTTTCAGTCATATACCTATGCGACCAGCATCTGACTGCAGATTTTGTCAATGAGAATTGAGTACCCTGTGTCCTTTTTAGGCGTAGTGATAGAGCTGGGATGTTGCGTCATAAAACACAATTCACCCTCACACTCGTCATCTCGACACCGGGAAACTCCAAGTAAACCAGTGCTCACCAGGCACCTTACACATCAAACGTAATCAGCTCAGTCCGATTCTCTTCAACACCCGCGATTCGCTGTGCAGAATTGCGTCCCTTGGGCACGCCAGAAAACTATGATTGTGGGTACTCAATTCTCAGCCTTTCTCTGCCATGTTTGAACACAAAGCGAATGACGGCGAATTTTGATTATGCACCAATGTCACATACATGTAAATATTTTCAGACAAAATCCTTGTTCATAAGAAATAATATGACCAGAGTGGTCAGAAAGACATGTTTTTCACAACTGTATACTTATTCACGTAAATAAATTTCTGTTCAAGTTTATTTACACGTTTTGTATATTTTTATCGACTGTCGGTCATGGCGGAATGGTCGGTACACATGAGAAAACGACAGTGTATATTTCCATTACATTTATGACGTTCATTGAATGAAATTATGACCATCATCACCCTATTCATCTCAGCGTTAATATCGTGTAACTCATATTTTATGCAGTGCTACGGATTGCGAAATATGGCGAGATTAGTAAAGTGGTTACCGCGCTTCTCGAACTTTTTCTGTCATGTTGAACTTCATGCGAATGAAGGCAATGTTTTATTATGCACCCATGTCACATACACGTAACTATTATTATATCAGACAGCCAATTTGAAAAAGAAATCTGATCTGACTGTCCCCACTGTACAGTTATTGGCGTAAGAGTACTAACGTTTCGTCGGCCACGGAAGTTTTTTGTTCAAGTATTGCATATGTTTATTGACTGTGTGTCATGGCGATTTAGCACGGCGCTAGAGACGAAACGACAGTGCAGATTGTCTTTTTGTTTATGATGCTTATTTGCAGAAAATATTCAAATCAAAGATATGGAAAGATAGCTATAATCGTTAATATTAAAGTGGTATAGTGTATATTTATGGGCAGGAAGTTCATGATCAAAACCTAAACATTGAATGGCCAAGTCCGAAGTGATCGACAGGGCACGTTCGCATCATATCTGTGCCGCGATTTCTTGTCTACCGGTTGTCCTACATGCTCGCCGGTTGAGACAAATAACTGCTACTTTTTTCATATAAAATGACTAATAGTCAATTGTGATTGCTCAAACTACCTGACCGCGTGAGTGACATGCCCTAACTGTTTCACATTTTGTCGCAAATGGAGATTTCAAAAGTGTGGCCACATCTAACGTGAGTCGACGCCATATTGTAAGCAAATTGTGTCAAGGTCGGTTCCACATGTGGCAGCTCGGTAGGGCTGGGACGGGTAACTCGGATACTCGTGTCGGGTGGGTCCTGAGTAGGCCCCGGGTACCCACATGACTACCCGGACCCGTGGTTAGTCACGTGACATACTGTTTACAATAACATGACATTAACAATAAAACTCAACGGTTACACTACAAGATAGTATAGCTATAATGTTCACGTACATTTCTTTCTCACAATGCAGGCATTCGTTCTGACTTTTATATTTTCGAGTAAGGATATAGCGTCTATCAACTTCAGTGTATAAATGATCATGTTATTGTATCTAATAGTTTTTGCCTGGGCTGCGGTAAAACGATTCCCATTCGGACATTTTGTACCCAACTCTTGAGACCTCTATATAGCGGGTATCCTGGTGGGGCCGGATAATAGGGTATCGGGTACCCGGGTAGTAAACTATGACTCGTCCCAGCCCTACAGCTCGCGGCCCCGTTTCTGTCTATGGTACACGCAATACAAACATTATGCAACTACTGAAAACATCAACATAACTTCTACAATGATGACAGCAATACCTTTTTGTATTTGGGTTAACCGCTTATGGATACGCTGTGCTGTTAAGCTCGATTTCGATTTGTTTTTCCTTTCATTGAAACTGTGATAATGGCGCTGTGATTGGTTTGCTGAAATAGTACTTTCCGTGAGTGTAATGTACATGGTACATGCTGTGATTGTACAAGATAATTGATAACCAATTGTGTATAAATATATATCATCAAGTACACATTACTAATCTCTTCAGAAAATGGAATATATTATCAGCTCGTATTTCCAACATTCTGCCATGGATATTAGAGCTAATATTAATATATGATTTACAAATTATTGATGTACACTGTACTCTCGATTAACGTATGATAATATATTGCAAGTCTTCAACTCTTATTTGATATGTCATCTGAAATGTCAGCAATGAGTAAACTTAATTTTATTTCGTTACAATCTGCAATTTTATTCGAATAGGCTTATAGACAGTCGGTGATTTCCCGCCGCTGTGAATTTGTCGTCTGGACCGGTGCGCGTGATTTGACCTCGCGTGTTGTGACGTGGATGACGTCACATGAAACAGCTGATCTAATGTTGTGGTAGTATAATGGATACACGTGGTTTCATTTTCCAAATAACAATATTCTCTTTGACTGAACTAGAAAGCATATCTAGTACATCACGATTGGAAATTGTCTACGGCGACCGACGAGTGAAGGAGACCGCTTATCATTTGACTAAAAGTGTTGGAATATTTGGCGCAGTTTTCTAATTTTCGTATGTTGACATGTGCTTTTCATATCTGTTTGAAGGCTTGATGTTCCAAAAAATAATGCGCATTTAGTTGAGTAAGGGAATGTATTTTTTTACAGTGAAAAAGCTGTCAAAATGGATCCAATATTAAACAACCTAGATTTTTAATATTTTAGCTTCATCTATTAGAATCTCGAATGGTTCAATTTGTAACATCAACAGTAAAAGTAATTAGATCTACTCACAATATATAGATAATCGATTTCTGAAAGACAAAATGTTTTCAGTGTAAATGTGATTTCGTTTTGATGTTTTATATAGTTTAATTTATGTCTTTTTTCACTCTGCATTATCTTAATTACCAAATACTTCGATCAGTGACATAGTAGTAATTACTTTGTTTTGTATCCTTAGTATGAAATAGATTTTTTTAAATAAATATGTGTCTTAGAGCAAAATCAAAGCATTCTTGTGGTTCTTTTTTCACCATTTTAATTTGTATATCTTCCCTCCAAGCTGTAGTTTAGCTAGGCCAAAGTTTAATAAAAAAGGAAAGACATAATAACTGAAAACCATTTATATTAAAGATTTTGCTGGTTAAATTTTCGAAGTTCAATACCAAGAATATATTTTTCCTTTTATGACAAATAATTCCATTACTTTCATTGACCTACGATCATTATCTATTTCAAACTTTTCCTTTAGTAGAATGGGATGGAAAGGGAAACTAGTGGAAATAAACTATCACGTATGTCCTTAAATGTACATGTACATACCTATTGCTAGGTGTAAATACACTTCTAAAGTCGTATTTATAAATCAAATGAATAAATGAAAGAAAAAGTATATTTTGAGCAAAGGTCTAAGTAAGGCAGCCAAGTGCAAAATACTAGCTGAGACGAGGATGTATGTTTTCTGGTGGTCATAGCGAAACAATGACATATGGCGCCCGAGTTGCGAGTGATCGAAAATAGGTTTGTTGAATAGATTTGCTGCCCATGAAAACGTTTCAACAATTTTGATTCAATCTACATGTACTTACTCTTGGGCGGCATAACGTTAGTATAATCTTGTTAATTATTAAGAAATGATAATGATGCCCGATATTGAGCGATGTCAATTTGAGTATTTGTTAGGGCTTTTTAGCGATCTTTCACATTTTGTCCTTTGAAAATGTACGATGTCAATGTTTTTATCACTAGAGCACGGTCATTGAAACATTCATGGACGTAGCAAGGATTTCTTCAAGATATAAATTCCAAACTGTCATTCGTTTTGTGAGATAATCTTTGAAACAGTCTGCGTATGAATTAATCACGACCACTTCCGTCAATTTTGTTTTGACGTCAAAAATACGCACAATTTCATCGGGATTTTTTATCGGTAAATATAATTCACGGAAAATTCTCAGTGAATGTGTACTTCAACATAAATGTTATATGTCTATCACTGTTAGGACATGTACTTGCCAATGATATGAATTATTGGTCATTTAGATTTCAAACAAGGGCGCTTACTTGACTTTGCTTGCCATATTCGGGTGTTTCCATATTACGATTAATGTAGAAAAGTAGGAAACTTATAATACCAGCACTTTTATCGATGGCTAGGCAGTGCATAGATCTTTTGGATTTGGTGACTTTAGATACTGATGGAAAGACAACCAACTCGAGTTGCATGTTATACAATTTGGTTACACTGTGTGAAGAAATAAAGACGTTGTAACACTTTTGATACAATGTATACGTTTTTGAAACAGCGACGTCATCACAGTGCGGCACTGAGCGGTATGCAGGCTGGCTGACGTATCATGTATATTATGTAAAACTCCTTTAACTGAACAATATATACCAAAGTATAAAGCAATAATAAATAAAGAATAACACTAATTTGTATAAATTTTGTTTTCTTCTATACCAGTTGTCAGACTGTTGTTGACGACAGGACTAGTCTTTTCAGATTTAAGGGAATATATCACACCTGATGTGCCCTCAAACATAAAAGTAGTTTTAAGCAGTC